CCATTTTGTACAGAATTGAATTCTCTATCGATCAGCATAGTTCTGAACTCTTTTCAACAAAATGTCTAGGTGAGGTAATTGAAATCACAAAATTTTAAAATACTAAATTAAAATTTTTACCTTTTATACATTTTAAAGTTAATTTTCGTGATCAGCGTGAAAAACTGCAACTACCCATGTGCCTCTCCATTGAATTAAGTACAAACTTTTTGTTGAACTTTCTGATTTGAAGGGGACCGTTAGCTGGCCACGCCGTACACGTATTGTAGACTTTGTAGTACGTATTATACACGAACTTTCATTACAATGTCTGCTGCACAGTGACTGTAACATGGAGTATCACAGAAAATTTTTGATGACGCAAGATCTAGAATCGAATCCCTTTCAATTCCAGAACCATCCCACCCAGGACACAAGTCAAATCATCTGCGAAGAAATCTGGCAGATGATTTGGCTTGTGTCCTGAGTGTTCCACTCAGGGTGAGTGGGATGAAAATATCAATTTTTTTCGACTAACGATAAGTTTAAGAAAACGAAATGCACGATTTTGTTCAGTTCTTTTTGTATCCGTTCGAATAAATTGTTATTCAAAGCGAAATAAAGCACGAGGAGTTTTAGACCACAATTCTAAAAAAGTTTACTTTGCTTTGAGTAGTATGGGTAGGTACGATAGTATAAACAGTACCACGTATTATGATATTATGGTATAAACAGTTTCGTCGCCACATTTCTATATTCAGAAACGAATTCGATAAGTTTCAACAATAAATATGTTTTGAGCAGATGACAATGCTTGTCTAGAGAGTGTTTCTTAAAAATCGATTTTTGCAGAAAATGATTGTGTAGGAGTTATCAAACATTAGTTAAGGCATTTAGGCAGTCAAGTATCACAGACATCTTAGGCATTTAACTATCTTAGGTGGCACAAGAATTTCATTAAAATGTTTAATGAAAATCCAGGATCACCGAACACACCGTAAGTTTCATTAAAGTTTTAATGAACTTCCGATATCCCAAATGGATGATGGATTGAAGCTCACTTCGCCGGGATAGCTCAGTTGGGAGAGCGTTAGACTGAAGATCTAAAGGTCCCTGGTTCGATCCCGGGTCACGGCATTCCTTTTTGTAGATGTTTACTTGATTCTTGTTGTGTGAGTCGATACATTACCTCTCCATAGATAGCATATCACAATTGACAACCATTACACATCAAAGATTTAACGTCGCACTGATATGCACTTTACTAGAAGCCAAGTGTTTTCTTTTCAAAACACAAAAGTGCAATTGTCTTTCCCTTCTATTTTTACAGTTTATCAGATGCTCCTTAAAACATAGATTTCCAAAATGTGGCAGTACGTAGAGATGAGATATTACCGTTATATAGATCCCACAAAACTTCTGCCTGTCCACGTCCACAGTCAGTTTGTGACTTTTAGTTCAGCTGCCAAATATCAGTCTATAACACATAAGAAAACAAGAGTCTCGTGAGCTCTGTCAATTACTAGGTTTTGTGGGATCGATAACGCTAATAACTCGTCTCTACGTACTGCCGCCATTTGGAAATCTATGTTTCAAGGCGCATCTGATAAACTTCTGCCAGATGATACGCTCCCGAACACCTAAAAGGTTCATTAAAACACTGTCTTTTCAGAGTGTGCTCTGTAAACTGTTGTTAACACTGCATCTTTTTCAATTATTTGATGAGTTAATCATGTATAATGGGAAAACACTGTGTAGATTTGTGTGTCCGCAGTTCTTTACTTAAACGGATGTTTATCAGAGCATATAGCTTCGTTACAAACTTCTCTTCAGGTTACAATTGAATAAGATCTCCCATGTAGATTCACTTCGCTAATTAAGAGGCGGAATAATTCGAGAGGACCCCTTTTCGCTTCGTACAGTAATCTGAAGTACACAAATTGTAATATATTGGCCATATTTTTCAGAAACAGGTGTCTTTTAGTTTTTAGAAATTTAAGGTGTCAGTTTCAAAGATAAAAGTTAGTAAAATGATCCTTTTCATTTAATTGTAGTGATTCTATTGGAAAAAATAAATGTAGAACTTGGGCTTCTCTGCCTATGATGTTCTGAAAAGTGATCAAGAAAATTATGTGTGTCATTCCAAATTCGTGCACTTTATAAAATTAAACTGAAACCTATAGATTTCACTAACTTCAGTCTGTGATATTGAGATCTCTATAACTTAAAAACTAAACAGTACCTTTTTCTAAAAATTAGCATGGTATAGAGTACAAGTTGTATACTACGAACTGGCAGAAAAACTGGAGAAGGGTACGAGAAACAGTGCTAACTTCATCACTGATCGATAAAAGTATCAAATCAAGTACATAAAATCCGATATACCAGCAACTAAGACAGAAAATCTATGAGTCAATAATAAAAATTTCGTTCATATATTACGAATAGTATACTCTAATTTGGAATTATTTTCTACTTTATAGATCGATTTTCTTAAATTGACTTTTCTCATTTGCCAGAAACGATCGATAAGGAATTTCTAAATAGTTGGAAAATCCAATTCGATTTTCTAAGAAGACGACTCCGTGATTTTTTTCTTGCTTCTTTCAGATCTATTAAAGCCTATACATTCCAACAAATTGTCGTGTAACTGATCTCTGCTGATTTTGGTATTTAACATCGGAAATGTTAGTAGCTTCGGAAAGTTCTCTCAGTTTTTGCAAATCAGCATATTCTTCGAGAAGTATTATTGCCGTATGACACTTGGAGATCACAAAGAGGTGCTGAAAAGGTTCTTGGTTGCCTGGTTAAGACACAGTCGAGTTCTATCGCAACTTTCTGAAGATCACAAAGCGATTTGCTCTTGCTAATATTCCTCATTTTTATGTCTGAATTTAGCATCTTCCAAAAATGTGGTTGATTATGTTAACCCAAAGACATGATCCTAACAATTCACATTTATTTTCTTTATTTTTTAAATAAAATAACAATCGTTCAACACGTGAGCGATAGCGAATTTGGTTTTCATTAGTAAAAGATCCATATTGTCACCCAATAAACTGAAATAATACACCGCACTCAACTTCGAAGTTCAATAGCTGTTAATAATGGTGAAAAAGTTTATTTTCAGTTCTCTGATTATCAGCATTCTCATTCAAATTGTTCTTCCTCATCATCTAGAAAATCGCTGAGGATTTTTTAGAAAGTAGAAAATAATCCGACTTTTTGATTTTCGAAAAGTCCATATATAAAATCCCTGAGGATTTTCTAGATGTAAATTCGCCGAGGATTTTCTATAAATAATTCCCCATAATGTAGAAAAAATCGATGTCGATTTTCTACATTATTGGAAATTCGATTTTCTATAATCTGGAAAATCCATGAGGATTTTACATATGGACTTTTTGAAAATGGTCCAGCATTTTCTATAAATAATTCCCGACTTTACAGTGTACATACTGGACAGTTAATTATTTATCCGTGGAAAGACCAAAGTCTCAACTTCAAAAAACTTAGAAAACAAAATATTTGCGTAATAAAAGGTTTAACTATTAAACAGTACCAAAGAAACTCTTGCAACGTACGTTTTCCTTTATTTTTCATTTCTCAATCCATCCATTTAATCACGTATTCACCAAGTTTGTCTGTTCACATGAGAAACATGCCGAAGGCTACAATACATGTAGTCGCCGCCGTTTCAATTTAATGTTTTTAACCAAGTGTATCTGAAGTCAGCTCAATATCAAATCGTGAACTTGTAACTGCATTAAATGCTGCCCAGATGAAATACGACTGACATTTAATAAGCCATGTAATGCGCTTAAAATGTATGCGAAAAAAACTGGTTTTTAACACCCAAATAACTGTTAAAAACTACCAGGTAACAGCAAGTTTATTGTCTGTCATGTGATTGTTAATAAAGGCCCGCGAAAAGGAATTTAACATACCACAAATGTTGAAAAAAAGGTAATTAATAGTCACCGTTTACTGTAAATTTTTTGGCTGTTGTAATGCCAAAAAACAGGAAGTTAACTATGCATCCTAAAATGTAACATAACTGTCACAGTTAAATGGTTATTAACAGGCTATTCTTTATTTGCACAATATACAGGAAAAAACTGACATTTAAAATGGCTGTTCCATTCACCCTTTTATTTTGCAATCATCACTAGTATATGATATATATCTATATATGAATATATATCACACTAAATTTGGAAGAAATTAGCAAATTTTTCTCATCCCCGATTGTACGTGTCATCGAAATGTGTCTGTTGGAAGTCGTCGCTGGTTCTGGATCGGGTGCCGTTGATGGCACCATGGATCTAAGGAGCCAAGAATTTTGGAAAATACTATATTTGGGGTACTAATCAAAGAAAACGTTCGATAGTTGGCCGTTAACAGCCAGTAATGGTGCAAAAATGGCCATCACATGATGCTATTAACTGCCTGTTTTTGTACAGTTTCAACCTGTTAAAAAATAGCATTTTAAGGCATTAAAATGTTCCCATGTATAAGGTGTAAAAATGTTCAATACTGACATCATCATTACAACAAATCAATTCAGCAGAGTGAAAAATCAGATTATAAGCAGTTAAATTATATTCCACACATGAGAAATGATTGGCTATAAAGTGAGCGAAATCAACGCATTTCTGTTGAAAAATATTTGTATTAGCACAGCTGTTGAAGAGACCACTCGTAAAAGTACTAATAACTGATGGATTAATTTTTTAAGATTCTCTTGATGATAATTCGGACCACATTCAACTACAGCTAAACGATTTTTCTCTGCAAAGAATTCTCTGCCTTATTGACTGGTTGTTGAATTTCCACTTTTTTCATAAGAATGGTTAATTTGATCTAATCGAAGACCTGTTATGTTTCTAGCTGTTCAAGAACTTCTTCTCTTGCTTTTTCAATTTTGCTTTCACATTTCTCTTGTCTGTTTCGGGTCATCGTAAAATATTTGCTTTCATGTGATACATAATTTTCAAGACCCAATCAGTTAAGCTGATGTATTAAGGAGTAGTTATAAAATGCTGATTATCTTCACTTAATGGTTTTGGTGTCAAACCTTTTCGTGTATCATAATCATTTCGGAATTTTTTTATTCCACCATATTCTTCCAACATTTTTTGATAAGTTTCTACAGTGCCTTTAGCAGTTCTTTCAATAGGAAAACCATACTCAGTTTTTTGTATATCCTTCCATTCATTTCGTTTAGAATAGCAAAGAAGACAATGAGCACCAAATAAATCTATTTCCATTTGTCTTATTTTTAAATCTTATATACTACGACTTATTTTAACTTGAATATTACAAACTGATAGAAGTACTGCAAAATATGTGTAATTTGGCTTGCACCACCGGTTGAAAATCTCACCAATCGATCATGAGTAAAGTTATTCAGGTATGGTCCCACTCGACGGTTATGTTTATAACTCTATATCTCAGTGTCCATTAAGTTGCGCATCTTGGTGCATCCACCAAAGATGGACAATGATAAGCACTATCGAAAAGCAGAAAAAAGTTCAAAAACTTAACAGAAAATAGGTATTGAAAAATTTCTATCTTCCTAAATTATAACGAAGTTCTCCTAAGAGATTTAGTATATAGCGCACATCGAACGGTTTTGTATTGTATAACAGCTGATAGCTATGACTGCATCCTAAATTTAAAATTTTTTGTTTAAGTGATGCTATTCTTATTAGTTATTCGTTTTCATTGCTGTATAAGAAAGATTGGTTTCGAAACAAAACGAACAGTGCGGTTGTTTACAGTTGAAACATCAGACCTGGTAACACCGTCACCACCACTCTAGCGCGACCACATAGTGGATGGATAATTTATGACATGGTTTTGTCCGAATATTAGGAATGTTTTCACGTCACAGGTGAAACATGAGGTGATACATACCGGACAACATCATCACGAACCCTCGTGGGTGATCATATACAAAATGAATAATTTGTTGCTTTACGTTTATGGTTATGCTCAAATATTGCGCATGTTTTCACTTTGAAAGTGAAACTTAAGTACATACATACCTGGCAACACCATCATCAACATCCTCGCGTGATCAAATACATACTGAATAGTTTGTAACGGAATGAGTCTATCCAATTATTATAAATGTTTTCACTACACAAGTGCCACATAACTTCTTGCATACCTGGGAACAACATCATGAACACCCTCGCGCGATCACATATAGACTGAATAATTTGTGGCTTTATGGTTGTGCTCAAATACTACGAATGTTTTCAGTTCTGAAGTGAAACACAACTTCGTACGTAGCTGGTAACATCATCATTAACAATCTCGCCTGATCACGTACATAATGAATAATTTGTAGCAAGCCTAGCACCAGAACGTATTGCTGTATATGGACTTTAATTTGCCGTACTGGAAAGAAAAGAATGTGTAGAAATACAAGTTCTATAGACTTTAAAAACCCTGTCGCATACATACCACTGATGTACTAAAACTATTAGTAAGAATGCAATTGCTAATAGTAATGACAGTTTTTGAGACATTTTTGTTGTTTGGATTTGATATGATAAATAATAAGAATTATGTGTAGGTGTAAGAAGGATGATGATAAATATTTAATCCTTCTTTGTAACCCTATTTCCTATACTGTACCTCTTTATGAGGAGGAATTGAACTGGATGTGGGAGGAGAAAATGTTATACTGAAAATTTTACTTCAGCTCAAAAACCGACGATATTACAACAAAACTGATTTTTCGAACTCTCTTTATGTTTTATAGCTCTGTGGGCTTTTTCTTATTATTACCAAATACGTTCCCCCGCAAGTGAAAATTATAATATCTTATGCAACATCAATACTTTCTACCTATCAGAGATAGACGAAATGCTTTTTTTCGCTCTATCCTGTGGACTGCAAAAAATCTCATTAAGGATTTCGTCCTACTCAATACTGCTACATGTCCAATAAACACGATATTACCAAACATTTTTTCCCCTGAAGTAAACTAACCATCCATGATGCAAATGAAAAGTCATGAATTTTGAATTTAGACTAAGTTTTTGATTATAATATTTATGAAAATAAATGACAGAAAATAAAGAGTGATAATAATGAGCAACAAAACAAACTAGCTTATGCTTTGCTCACCATGGGAATTATCTATTAGATATTTTTTTCTTTCTATAAAAAGGAGAGAAAAGAATGTGAAACAGATAACTATACAAATTGTTCGTCTATCGGATCGGATTGGATTGGTCGATAACCTATAACCCACTAGGTTTCGAGCAGAAAGTGATTAGACAGTTGGAAAATATTCCTCGTCAGCACTAAATACTAACAGAAAAAATCTACACTTTTTCATAATGTTGACTACAAAATTGTCATGGTTCAGTTAACTGAGGGAGAAGATAGTAAGATGCACGTAATTCAAAGGAGGAGTAATATTTATTTTCTCGATTAGTCATGTATGGTTGGATAGAATTCCTCTAGCTGAGTTGGGGTATATATGTTTTGGGGATATCCTGTCTTCATAAATCCAGTTTCATAAATCACACATTTATGAAACTTGTAAAAAGTTCCATAAAATTTAGGAAACTTGGATGTTGAATCTTTTAACCCAAGTTACATAAAAAGTTTAACAGTTCAGAGAAAAAATTTTCTTAATTAATTAGCACATGTCTCCGAGAAACCTATGGTGGTTAATTAAATTGGTTTAATGAATTAAGGGAACTGCATATGTCTCTAAGAGGGTTGTTACAGTACTATATTAGTATAAGTCTCATAGTGACATACGTTGAAGATGATCATAATTTTATTATTTTTTAAGTAAAAGACGCTGGTACTAACATTCCAATCAGTGATGAATGAGTCTACGGCTAAATGGGCTGATAAATAGGTGTTCCTCAAGAAAAGTTAGATTACAATATGTCTCTGAGCAACATCTAGGTCTCTGAGAGGGTGATTCTTAGTTAGTCCTTTTAAAATAAAACATTTTTTAGTTTTTATTCAGTTGATTTAGTTAGAAAATGTCACTGAGCGACTTATAACTCACAAAGTTACACATATCTCTCTCGTTCAGATATACGTATATATCTGATACAAATTCACCACGTTTTTTAATAGACAAATTCCGCAATTTAAGAAAGTAGGCACACATCGACAGTCACACTTTAAACTAATAACTCCACTAACGTTTATTACTATTCAACAAGAATATTTTTTACATTTATAAAACATATTTTTCTAATACACGCTTGAATTTACCTTCTACACTTTCACAATAAAGACACAACTTGTTATTCGTTTAAAAGACTTTAGACAAGTCCAGGGATTCCAGATCCAAAACACGAAAATCAGGAAATAAACGTCCAAAATCAGAAAAACCTGAGAAAAAGAAGTAGAAAATCAGAAAATCAGTAGACCTTAGGGCAAAAAAGAGCAGAAACGAGGCAGAAAAAGTTTCAAAAATCAGAATTTTTCTGCCAGAATCAGAAGATCTGGGATCTCTGCTCGGGTCTTACTCTAGAGCAAGCACCGTAACCGTGTTGTGATACAACGAAAAAGTTTCATAGAAAATTGATTTTTGAGAACAATAGATCACAAGTTGAGATTTCGAAAAATTATTTGAAAATAGCTTTCAGACTTTTTCTTTAAAAGTTTCGAGCAAGACTTGTTTAATCATACGAGGTTTTTAAAATGAAAATAGCGGATTTGAAGCGTTATTTATGATTCCCGAGACGCCTATGTAAGGTTCAAACAAGTACTGTTACAAGAGTGTGTCGATTGTACTGACAGTAAAACACAAAAACAACCATCATTTTGTGACTCGCGAACTATAACGTCTCATAGATAGAAATTTTGTCGTTATGTTATTAAATGGTGATATAACCTTTTTTTAACCTCTTAGTGCAAATTGTTAATGAGTTATGACATTTCTAAGTTTCCTAATAAAACTCATTTATTTACTGAACTAGAGTGATCTTGGCGAGTTTTTTGCATAGAAATAAAATGCACCTTATTTAGCTATTATTCTCAGACTTTGGGTCGGCTTCATGTTATTTTGATTTCTGTAACTCCATTTAAGTTATAATTATCAAACTTTGAAGAAATAATCTAGAAATATATCAGAGTGTTTGCTGAAAACTTTAAGACAAAATATTGTTTTCAAGTAGTAAATAGTTGTTGGTCGGCAATTTTTGCATGCCTAACTTGTAACACTAATGTACCCTAATCACGCTCCAAACAGCGCGTCACTGCGGGGTAAGCCAGGGTGAATAATTTTTCCACTATATTTTGTCAGGTGTGATTTTATCTGTCATAGTCTTAACAATGTTGTATGACCGTTGGATAACACAACAGTGCGACACCTATGAAAAACTTCGGCTACAACTTTTCTCGTTCTAAGAAACAGACCTTTACATAAAATGCACCAACAAAAAGATGCACTATTCATTTCAAAACACACTGTTTTCGATCGCATTGTGGTTTGTTAGCGCAAAAGTTGGCGGTTGTACATCCGTTAGAAAATGGCCACTTCATTACATTGTCCAAATGTATGCGTGTGATTTGAATTGCTCTCTTTGTTGTTTTATCTATTAAATTATGATTTATTTTAAACTGAACATCCACTATTGTGCTTTTTCTTTTCTTGGCAACTTTTGATGGTAAGAATATGAGACTATGTCGCATGGGATTAAGCGATTTAAGGGCGCAAAGAAAATCGGTTTTTTATCAAGTAGATTTGTTGATAAAACAACAAGAGACTTTTTTATACGCTTCCACTGCCTATTCGACGCAACGTTTCTAATAGGATTTGCAATCATAGTTGAATGAACCAGCTTACTGTAAATCCAGAAGTGAATAAATTAGTTTCAACACAAATTTCAGTATTAGTGGAACTATTTCAGATTCAGATTTTCAGATTCACATTAAGCAAGTTATAATAAGCAGTGGTCATTGTGTCTCTATGTAATTATTTATAAGAGAGATTAGACCAATAAGTTCAGTCATGGCGAAATTAGTACAGATCAGAAAAAAATAAAGTGCAAATTTCAAAAAGCAAAATCATTTTTAGGGTGGAGATCGGGTTTTGTAAAGTAGAAGACCACTTTAATCTCACAGGAACCACCAGTCATTAGAAACACTGAACCGATGTACTCTCCAGTGACGTAGAATCTGCTTTACGTTCTTCTCCGCAGTAACTTTCGGTTAAAGTATAACAAAGTACATGAGGAAAACAAAGTCTTTTTTTAGCACCCAGTTTTTTGTTTATGAAGAGTAGCATAGATATTTAGACAGCATCTATCCATTTTTCCTTGGTTACAAAATAATTAAAAGAGTCTGAGTTTGTATCATAGTGATTTCCTCTGGGATTTTATTGATCATTCAGTAAGAGAAAATTTTCCAAGTTCTTTTGATAAGAATGTGGCTTATTACTCAATCTTGTTTATTTGAAACAAAACGGTGAATAACTATCATCGCGAAAATACGTTCTCATTTTCGTAGGATCCTTGTCTAGGTAAAGGATTCTTTTGTTTTTAGAAATAATCCATGTCATAAAAATCGGCAAGAAACTGCCGATTAGGCGCAATTCATCGGTGAATTGCTCGTGCGCTTAATCATGATATTAGAAAAAGCCGACGGTTACTTGCGATTTCATCGAAATTTATCGACGAGTTTTTTCAAAAGCGCGATGAATCAGGGTAAAATTCTTTTTTAAATCTCGATTAAGTGCCCGATAAACCGACTGATTAATTGCACTTAATCTACAGTTTGTTTTGTTTAAACTTTATTTCATAAAAGTAAAAAGAAAAGTAAAAGAAAGCTAGTAGAATCCAGGATGAAATCGACTAATTATTGTACCATTTCTGGAAGCCTAATGTTAATCGGCAATTTCTTGCCAATTTTGACAAAACGAGAAGGATTCCGAAAATCTTTACAGTAAATAATATTGTTCGCTCGAGAAATTTCTTCATTGTTCTTATCACAGAGTCAAAAACTTTCTTCACGATAAGAGTTCGGTCTTACTCCCATTCCCGCTAAATTTTCTACATTGTTTGAAAGTGATGGACACACTCACTTGGTAATCAGTTAAGTATTATATGTGATGAAGTTGACTTCAAAGAGAAAGATCGTGAGTTACTTGATTTTCTATTCAATAATACAAGGTGGTCCGAAAGTCACCCGGCAGTCTTTGTTTGCGATTTTTAGAACACTTCCGAGTGACCTAAAAATCTGATTTTAGCCTCATTCGATAGAGACTTAAATTCTCTACAAATATGGTATTTAAATCTCTGATAGCATTTTTCTCGTTTGAGAATCATTCAATATTTTGACTGGTGCTGAGTTGCCGAACTGCGACACACTGAAAATAGCAACATATTAATAATAATTTATTATTATTAATATTATTTATTTATTACTTATATTATTAATAATAATAATTTAATTTGAAAAAATTGAAAATCCGCTTGAGAACTAATTAGGAGTTCAGCTGACGTAGCAGAAACATTGTATGGAGTTGCAAATGTGTGAGATCGATAGAGCATAAAATTCTCTATCTACGTAGACAAATTGAATATTGAACCTCAGACAATCAGCGAAAAATGTCAAAAAAAAGGCGATAAACGACTGTCGAACTGTCGGATGACTTTTGGACCGCCCTGTATAATCTAGAAAATTTCCGTTTGTTGCTCTGTACTGTTTTTCCTGTAAAGCAGCTTCTTACAGAAAATTCGATATGCTGATTTTCTAACTTTTTCTGCTACATCACATCTTCTAATGCAATTTTTCTCCTTTTAATCGAGAATTATGAAACAAATCTCAAAGGACTTATTTCCTATACATTCAACAATAAACTATGTCTAGTAAAAGAATATCCTAACACCCTTGCTATGTATGATTCTTCAGTACCATCAAAAAAATTTTTTCTTTTCGTGAACGATACATCTATTATTTCATTATTGTCAAAAAAAAAAAATAATAATAATAATGAGGAAATTCTCTTTTCTCGAATATCATAAAAAGAACAAAATTTATGATGAGGTGTCGACAAAACGAAAAATGCTTTCCTATTCTTTCAATCATCTTTTTTTCTCTATCTATGTAGTAAATGTGATAACTGTATATGTCTTTTCACAAAATGATAAATTCGAAAACTTTAAAAATCTGCCATTTATAACAAAGGATTTTGTTTAGACGTAATACATATACACTTGTTATACAGTACATACATACATAAAAACATACTTATTACGCATTTATCATTCTTCCATCTTTTTGCTCGTATTTCGATTATGGAAGACATTAGTCAAATCAATGTTTTAAATATAACAAAAGGTACTCGAGAAAAACGCACAGAATATATAGAGTAAGATAAATTATATGCATATATATGTTCATGTAGAAAAAAAAAGAGAACGTTTATTTTAATATAGGTATTTTTTAATTCTAATTTTTTCAATCAAAGGGTGAGTTTAAGTAAGACACAATCAATAGAAATGATACATAACCCATAAAACGAGGCAATATGTATGTCTTTATTCTATTGCATTGTCTTTTGAGCCTAATATTGATATAGTCTTTGCAAAAGCGTTTGTTTTATCACGTAACAAATTTTTGTTAAGATTGCTATATAGTGCCAGACTTTTCATTTATACGAAATTTTTTTTCTTCAAATGATACGTGTAACAAGAAATGTTTTTGCTACATTTCCTCAGCATAGAAACTTTCCCATCGACAGATGTGCTTTTGGAATTGATTAGTGCATTTGTGCATATATAAGCAGTTGTGATTGACTATCAATTAGATCATGAATAATTATTCGATGTTTTTTTAATTATTTTAAACATTAAAAAATCGGGAGAAAAAAACCCAATTTTACTATCAATGGTTTGATTTAGAGAATCAACGTTTCCTTTATCCATGTTTAGATTAAAGTTCGAACTTTTTTGATAATTTTGAATAATTAACTTTTGCTGAACTACAAATACAAAATTCATCAATAGAAATTTGAGTATTTAGTTTTTAGTAAAATAAAACATCAGATCTTATTCACTAGCAGCTTCATGAAAGAAATAAAAATCTCTATTTGAAAACAAAAGCTCTTTGGTGAATGGTTCTATTTATGATTGTAATGGTATATCTATTTTGGTATATTTTTAGAAAAATATGAGTGATCGAACGTTTAATCTTGAAGAAGCGACGCCAGTCGATCCAACATTGACTGATCGTACAGTGTCGATACTTGAACAGTATGTAATTATATTTATTTAGTTTTAAAATGATATTGAATGATATTTATTTTAGAACAAATAATGGAGGAGATCAATCGTTCGAATGTTGTATTGAACATTTACCATTTTATCGTTCAATTGAAAGTGATTTACTATTAATGAAACAGTATTTATTTAAAAGAGGTTTAAATGAACAAGACATTGTTTCTCAAGAAGAAATTGTTATTAATGTATTAAAGGTACGTTTTAGTGTGTAGATATGTGTGAGAATACTTATTTTTTGAAATAATAAATCATATCATATACAGGAATCATTAAATCAATTTATCCAAATTGAAAAAACTAAAAATGAAAATTTACTAATATGTATTGATAATATTATGAAAGAATGTGATCGTATACATCGGTTACTTGAATTAGAATGGACTATTGAAAAACCGTCTGATGATTTATCGTTATTTGAACAAATGAAACAAGCAAATAATCTTCTTGAATCATCGGAACATTTATTCAAAATAAAAACAACAGAAATAAATGAAATGCGTATTCAAGAAGAAAAATTATGTCAAAAATTACATGAAAAAATTTTCGAATTCAACAATGAAAGTATGTGTTTTTTAGTCAAAAGAAACTTTAGTTTTGATGTTTTCCTTTCGTAGATGAAACACCATTTGCAAAACGAAAAATAATATTAGAAAATCATATTCATGATTTAACTAATTTGCAGGTAATTTATTTTATATACTTCTCTCTAATAATACCTTTCTTTAACCAGTTTCAGTTTATTGACAAAAAGGTCATGAATAACACAAGTTGTAAACATAGTTAGTATAAAATATTTCAAAGAGAAGTCCTGCTGTGCACTGATATACATACTAAAATAAATAATAACAATAATAAGCAAATATATAGAGTTAAGATGAGTTTGAACAATGGAGGAGACGTTCGCATGTAGAACATTAAAATAACATATCAAGAAGAAAATCAGCAGTTTAGGAGTGTGCGTAAACCAAATTTAAACAGGTGTAAGTTAGGTGCAGTTGCTAAGGACTCAGTTAGTAGTGTATTCTAGTCAACGGCAGTCTGCCAAAAGAAAGACGATTTTACAGTTTCAAATTCAGTAAAAGGTACCGTAACGCAGCGAGAATGGGACCTATTACATTCTGATGACCTAGTGGAAGAAAAACTAATCAGATTAGAAGAACTAAGTAATGGGTAGTTGTAGAGTAAACGATAGAAATTAACTAAACGAAAGTAAAGGCGCCTGTTCTTCAAATCTGATAATTGTAACTTTTTTACTAAACCGCGACTTTCTGCCGACTTGACCAACTAACTCTTGCTCTCAAGAGTTAATCTAAAGAGAGTAAGAGTAAGTGCTCTCACACTTTTTTTTGCATCTTGTTTCTCTGGTAATTTCTGAATGGCGGAGATATCCAGAAATATCACAAATTAAAGCGAAAAGTCTGCTGAAGATTTTGAGCGCTAGTTTGAAAATCGAATACATCTCAAAATCTTCAGCAGACTTTTCGCTTTAATTTGTGATATTTCTGAACATCTCCGCCGTTCAGAAATTACCAGAAAAACAAGATACAACAAATGTGACGAAATTTCACTCCGGCAGTAGGGCAGGGCTAGCTAGTCACGCCGTATTTTTAGATGATAGAAAGAGTTCTTTAATATGTACCAAGAAGATCGTAGAAGTCTTAAAAAAAATGAAATATGTTTTTTTTATACGGAAACATCATTGACTATCTCACTCGACTAGAAAATCTAGATATATGATCTTGGCAATAATTTATTTACATCTTTTATTTTGAAGGTTGAAAGATCTTCTCGTGTCGAACAATATCGTCAACAAATACATCAGATGAAAATTGAATTAGAACTTAATGATAACTATGGTTTAGTAATAGGCGATGATAATAATATTTTACTAATCAGGTTAATTGATGGACCCTTTGAAACGATTGAATTGTCAAATGCGAATGTAGTGCATTTACAAACACTAGCAAATGAAGTATGTTTGTACATCAAAGTATCGTTGAAACAAATATAGATTTATTTTTTTTACTTTCCAGCTTGATATACAATATCAAAAGAATAAAATAAAAGGTGATCAACTTATTAATCAATTAAAAGCATTATATGAACGATTAAACATAAATGAAGTAGATCAAGAAATTAAATTACCAACTAATAAACCTGATCGACCATCAAATTTGATAAAAGTATGCGTATGAATAAAAACGAAAAGAACATGAAAAAAGAAAAGATTGTGTATATTGTAGCTTGAAAGAGAAATTGAACGATGTAAAGATATTCGTCGACAAAATATGAAAACATACATATTGAATATAAGAGAAGAAATATTTATGCAATATGAAAAATGTTTTTATAGTCGAGAACAGATGGAACTATTTCCAGCATTATATTCAAGTATGTAAGAAGCAAAACATCTCGTTCTACCGGCAATTCTTCACTATTATTATCATAGAAAAAAGAATGAGATATATGATATGGAAATGATGAATGAGAATCATTTTAATAACGAATTATTATATCATTCTAGATGTTTTCACCGAGGAAACACTTGAACAACATGAAAAAGAACTTGAAGAAATGAAAACATACTATGAGCGGAATGAACAAATTTTTATTGAACTTCGACGATGGATGGATGCTTGGGATGAATTTAAGAAGTTCGAAGTAAGTTTAAAAAAACTAATTATTTTAGATATGTATATATATATATATCTGATGTTATTCAAGTTTGTTTCATCTGATCCAAATCGTTTTAAACAACGTGGTTATAGTGCAATTAATGAAGAAAAAGAACGTCGTCATATTGAAACAATATTGAAAAAAGCACAAGAAAATATATTAATGTTAGCCGATGAATATGAACAAACACACGGTCATTCATTTCATGTTGACGGTATTTCTATTACCGATTTTTTTACACATGAAAAAGAAAATTACTCACAAGAAAAAGAGTTAGAAAAGGCACGAAAACAATTAGCACGTGGACAAACACCAATTTTGACAAATGCTCAGCATAGTGCTAAACGACAATTAGCACATACAGAAATGATGAAGACGCCTAGCAGACAACAACAAGTAAGTGACAAAAAACATAGAATTTTTGTAGTTACTACTATAAATATTTTATTAATTTTTTCCAGTTTGATATCAAAGTGACAACACCGTTTCGTCCAGCAAGTGCAATAAATAATAAACGTTTACTACCGTTACAACCACAACAAAACAAAGTATGCAAAGAATTATCATAGATCTTTAATCTATGATGATCATGTTTTACTTCGTCGTAAATAAATGAACGTTCAATTGATATTTATTCGATATAAATAATAAATATATTCGAAAACTTTCCTTATTTTCTTTTTCTATTCTTAATAGCTCTCTGTGAGAGTGTGTTTGTGTATGTGTGTGTGCTACAAAATAATTTTCAGTTCACTCTTTTTTTTCTGTTCATACGAACGGCCTCCTCATATCGCAAATCTTTTTTTATCTATTTGTTATTTCATAGACAAAGAAAACTAGTCATTTATCTCATGTTTATTGTTTCATATTTGCTGTTTTTTCTTTTTTTTTGCAATGTTAATTGACTGTTTGTAAATTTAGTTTTTATCTGTACACGAAAAATCTATAGATTTTTCAATTAAAAATTAATAATGACGACAGTAACAAAGATGAAAAACTAATACAATAAATTCTTCTTTTTCGAGTGTGAATTTATACTGACATTCTTGCGACTTGGAACCATTGTCCACGAGCTCTGACTTAGTTTATTGCGAAAATGTTGGTGTAGTTCGATAAAGAAGCATTCAAAAAGTCTGTATGAATAAAATGCACTAATTGAATATTAAAGGCGGTAAAATTACATCATCTGTTGTAAATCTCTGTGGCGAAGATGACCGTTTTTGAGCATTCATACTAGATATTACCAAAGTTGATATTTTTGTATTGATTAGGAAAAGCGATTGAAATTCCATCGACAATACATTCTCCTGCCAAAAATAGTGAATTGATCAACTAAGGGTTTTAGTAGAAAAAATTTAGCGAACACTGTGTTTAAATAAACTTACATCCTGCTGGTATACAACGGCAAGCCTATGCTTTTAATATTTTCCATATTTTGATAATAGTAGCAAGATACGATGGACACCGGCAGGTCCAAAAATCTTATGTTTTTCTCGAACTGAGACAAGAGTAAAGAGCCGTGGAAGATCTCTGATCTGACGTTGACTTCTCGGTCTCCTTTCTGTATCCACTCTTGTGCAAAGTGAAACAAATGAAACTACATTTATTGAAATCGAACCAGTTTTTACATATCTTGAAAACGTATTTCTATATCGGAGATCACTGAAAAACAGTGGAGTTTCGATCAAAAGATTGAAACCATCAGATAATTTTATCAATGTAGAAAAGTGTTAGTTATTTGTGAGTTATCCAAGTGAACACTCTTGCCTCACTCATACTGCAATCGCGCTTACCGTGACATGCTCACGATAAATTTGTTAACTCATGATACGATCGCTAAGAAATCTTGATATCGCTTCGTGATCGCAATATATTCTCAGTATTGACAGTAAGAGTTTTGCATGATCATGAAGCCACAATTTGTCTTACACGACCGTGTGAGCCACAAAACCCGCGGCTTGGCTCACTACTGTGACTCGCGACAGGACAGTTTTTAACAAGAAATTTTAAAATCATGACTCGATCGCGCTTTGCTCTGACATTCACAGCTGGATTCTTAAAGAAGATTCGTGACGCGATTTGAACATTTATTCAAGCAAGAATTTGTGATTAAAAAGTAAGGATCTTTGAAAGTCACGGCGTGAGTCGTGTTTTTGATTAAATTATTGAACCGGTAAAACAAAATGTTAAAATTGATTCTGAAAAGAAAATGGGACAGAATTTCTATTCGATTTTTTAATTATTTCTGTTTCTAATTAATCCGTTCTTTTCTTCCTGTGGTGAGGGAAAAGAAATACAGGATATGTGTTTCTGTGTAGACATATAGTCTATATTACATATACGTTGCATTTCGTCGCATTGGTTACATTTCGTTTCCTTTTAACGTATGGACACAGGATTTTGATTTCTGATATCAAAACAGATCATGTCGTATCCTTTTTATCGTAGAATGAGTCTTTTACGTGCATTTTTTATGCAGCCTTTATTACTGCTTATTTCCAGTTTATTATTAAATAGCTCATAGGTACGTGTACAGTAATTTCTAAGCGAGAGAGAGGAATATTGAACCCTTCGTTTTTTCTTCTCTTGAAATTAAACTATCTGATCTTCTCTTAAGGTTGCTTTCAAAATATAAAAGATCCCTCTCTCAATTAAATGCACTAAATCTATCCATGTATAGGCGTAATTGAACATGTTGACTGGGAAAAGTTTCTGAATAATAATACACCAAAGTGAGAAATGTACCAACAAAGTTGATGTTATTAATGCGTAACCTCGGTGTAATACATCCACTGCCGTTTATGTTTTATGGGATGTAGCAGGTACCAGTATTAGTTTTCTGTTTTGACCAACGCATAGTTCTCCTACGTCTGTGCACAGAACATTCAGCGAACTGGTGCCGAGCGTCAAGATCATATTGATCTTACCTTCGATGAGTGCGAGTTTGAATTTTTGTTCACATACGTCTGTGGTTACCTTATTGGTAATACTCGGCATCAACCTATTTCACTCTTAACGCTTGATCTAATACCAGTTACATGTCGAACCAAAATTGAGAAATTAACAGAAAAAGGAGTTAGTCGATCTGAAAGTGAATATTTTCTTATCTAATGCAATCCGCTTTTTTCTTGAGCTTCATGTCTCTTATCAGAAATCGAGATAATGTCCGGAAAGTGCTGTGTACCGACTTAAATGCACGAAGTTCTCGAAGAAAAAACCGAGTGAAACGAGTTGCATATAGTCTAGGTGAAAATACTTTTAGCAATTCTATGCTTCATTTTATTGCAGTTAATTATCAGGATTTGTGTTGTTGAACGCAAGACTCATTCTATCTTTCTCCGTGGGTGAATTTTCTTTCAGTCTTCTCAATAATGGTTTAGGTACTGGACTCAGAAGCTGTTTTTGTTTTTTTCTGAAAGTAGTGGATAGCTCTCTTATAAAGTTTTTGTGAAAAGGTGATATTTTCAGAAAAAACAAACAGTTTCTGAGTTCAGTAATGTAGCCTAAACCATTATCGAGAAGACTGAAATAATATTTACTCACGGAGACAGATACAATGTGTAGTATGCTCGACAATACAAGTGCTGCTAATTAACTAGAATCAAGCATTTAATGAAGCGAAAATGGAATAATACGAGAATGCAGTATTCGCGGTGGGAGTCGCAGTGCTAAAGTAGCGATTAATGCGCGATCGCGATATGACGTCCGTGAATTCTATAGGACAACAACACAAGAACAGTGAATCGCGGCATGATAATCGTGACGTCAACGCGATCATTCTTGAACCGCAACAGAGCCGCGATCATAAAATAAGACTCATATCAATGGAAAAAAAAGTAAAGTTGGCTTTGAGTTGCCGAAAAGTGCTGTTTCGTATCCGGCACACTTGATAACCCCGAACATTTTCTACTTTTGGCGAGGGGTACTTCCAAAAGTTTAGGAAAGTTTTGAAACAAAATGGCTCAAAAGATTTCCATGAGAAAAAAATATTAGTTTGAAAATATCCCATCAAATATTAGTAGTATACTTTTGGAAGTATCCCTTACCAAAAACAGAAAATTTTCTAGGTTATTGAGTGTGCTGGATACGAAAAAGTAGTTTTCAGCAACTCAAAATCAACTTCCATTTTTTTCCGGCGATATGCTTATTTAGCGATCATAACTGTGATGGTGTTACGTGTACCTGTCGTGACTTTTTATCGCGGCACCCAAATTGATCTGGGTAACTTATATTATGAGATTAGTAATGAACAGCCAGATTCATCTGATATACGAAATTAAAAAGTCGTCTCAGTGAAACGCGAAGATTACCATATCGGATCCACTAAGCTTAGTAGACTAATAACGATTACTGAGAACTTCTCAAGCGAAGATTATTTAGAAAGCAGGATATCGAATGTGTTGAATTTTCCGTTGAGTAGGGTTCGAAAACTGGACAGTGTAAAAGTTATGTAGTAAACTTCACATCGATGGTTGATACAGTTCGAATATGGATTCCGCCTTCTATGATCATGATAAACGTTCGGCCTTTCTGACACTGTCTTTTTCCGAGAAGTGAAAACATCTAGTCTGACATTCTTTCGTTCTCTTGAATTTTCGGTGTTAAGTTTCTATTCAGTTGGATTTTTTTTGACATTGGCACTACTATAATAGGAACGGTCACCATTGTCTTGAGGAATTGCATCAAGAAGAACTGAGTAGTGGCTGTAAACATCAAGATGTTTAAAGTGCTTTCTTCACTTCGGGATTCATATTAAAACTTCTCTCATCTTCTTCATCCATATCACCGGATCGAAAAATTTCAAAAGCTTGTTCGGTCGAAACCGATTGCAGATTCGTTTTCTCCATGGTTGATTATGTGGTACGCAATAACTTTTGGATCGGGGTACTTTAGAAAAAAATTTTCCCATGGTCTTGCTCAAAAATTTTTCAGAATGTTACCGTATGGGACCAAAGGCAAAACGATGTCGAAAATTTTTTCTAAAGTACCCCGATCCAGAAGTTATCGCGTACCGCATAATCAACCATGGAGAAGACGAATCTGCAATCGGTTTTGACCGAACAAGCTTTTAAAATTTTTCGATCCGGTGATATGCTTACTTTGTAGTACTTGCTTTCTTAACTGGTAATTCTTTTAATAAAAATTTATTTTTCGTGCAATATGTGTAAAACGCAACATATCTAGTTACTATTTAGGATACTATTTCTGAATACAAACTAAAACTAGGAGTCGAAAAACCTGAAGCGTTTGCTCGCACAATTAGCGATACTATACGCCATCTAAGTGATTACAAGCAACGCCACTTTCTATATAATTCAGTTGTAGTTTTTAACCCTTTTTTTAAGATCGGTTGTAGAATGCTTTCTAATTTTACGCTCGCTGCGAATATATTGCTCAAAATCCATTTTAAATGTACCTTCATAAGAGATCCAAACTAGACATAAAAATTATTTTTGTAGAGGCTGATAGTCCATATTTTCGAAGATGGTTCATGGTGAAAGTAAATTATTTTTTTTAGCAGAAAAATTCTGTTTGTTTTAGACCAGTCGTTAATTACCAGTTTAGACCA